CTCATTGTGTAGAAATTTGATTCAAAGACGTCCAGTGTTGTGGGAAGTAGAGGAGATCAGAGCAGCAGCAATGCTTAATATTTATGGGTGGCGATCGCTTCTCGACCACTTTCCCCGGAGGCAACTCAAAGCATCTCAACGAAGGAAGCCATTGGTAGGTAGTGCTGCATGGCGAGCAGCTGCGCCAATCTAAATAAAATCTTTCCAGAAAAACTTTGATACGTGCAGAAATGAATGAAAGTCTTCACTCACCAATCCAGTGGAGGACAAGACAGGGGAAATGACCACTGTTTCCTCCAACAAGAAGGACCACAACAAAGGGAGTGAATCTGTCGTAGAGAGATAACGACTTGTGGTAACTGGCTTGTTAATAAAATACGTTTTCACAGAAATTGAAATGACAACCAAGTGAGGGTACGGAAATGGCTCAGTGGCGGCAAAGCCGAATTCAATTGACGAATGTAGAAGCTGATGACATGAAATTGCCCGGTGGGCTGTCTAACGTTAAAAGCTTAAACTCAAATTCTCCAAAAAGCCTACATCGAGTCACAATGGGGTATCTACGTCATACACGGCAAAATATTCCAATACGAGGGTACCTGAGGCGATGCCAGGTTGCTCAAGAACTTGCTGTATTCCGCCATGTCAACCAAGCCGCCCAGCGCCGCCGCCCCTTCCAGCCGCACTGACAACATTGATGCAGACCCTGAGTTCGCCTTGTTTGAAAAGAGACCACGACGACGATGAACCTCTTCCAGTTTACGACGCTATCAATGCCCCGATGATCTCTCGGGATGTGTACAAGGATGAGAAGTTCCGCTCGGAAGCAGAGCAGAAGCAGTACAGCGTCTTCGGAAAGCTTTATGCTTCGGTGTATGTTCTCCTTTCCAGCATTTTTGAATTAAGAGACTTGACAGAAGTCCCACAGGAACAAAGGAAGTATAGAGAAGCCAGAGGATGCGAGACTATATCTTAACTCTGTAAGCTACATGTACCTGATATACGAATCAGACAAACATTTCACTGTAGAATTCACCATTCTCCGCCTTCGTCTGTGGCATTCAAGGTGATTTTCTTTTTTACTTCTTCATTTTATCCAGGGAAAGCACATGTCTTTCTTAGGAGCTGGGAAATCTCATACTGTTTCCGTCATGCTTGAAGGCATGTTCATTCCAGACGTGCCAGAGATCGGCCGCCTGAAGCAACCACTCGCTGGTCTCGTCTTCTACTATGGCGAAGGAGGTGAATCAGCTCGACCCTGTGAGGCGGCCTTTCTGTCCAAGCCTTCGAACTTCCGCCCCGGCATTCAGACTCCACGGGGCGTTGTCTATGTCTCGCCAGCCGCATTGACATCCATGGAGAAGGTCTATTCCTCGCTGGGTTCTGAGGTTACTGTTAAACCCCTCAAATTCAGCGAAGATGAGATGGACGCTCAGTCGTTCCGTACCTTGATGGCGATTGGAAATACGCTTGGCAATATCCCTCTCTACATGCAGATCGTTTTAGTACGTCTCTCTTTATTTCATGAAATTCCCTTTTCTGGTTATCGACAGTCTTTAGAACATCCTCCGCGAGTTGGGAGACACATTTACTTACAGCAAATTTCGCACCAAGCTCAAGGTCTATGAGAAAGACTTTTCGGACCAACAAATGGGCCCACTAAAGCAGCGTCTTGCCCTTCTCAAATCTTTCATTACCACGGAGAAACAACCAGATCGGTTCCACAAGGGCCAGTTGACTATTGTTGATCTATCGGATCCCTTCATTGACCCAAATCTCGCTGCCTCGCTATTCAAAATAGTAGTCCGGCTATTCATTCGCAAGGATTTGGATACTGGCAAAGTTCTAGTCGTTGATGAAGCTCACAAAGTGACTTTGCTTTGCAGCTTCTTTCTCTATCCCCTTCTCATTCGCTTGTTAGTATCTCAGCTCTACCATTCACGACACTGGCTTGACTCGCGCGCTTCTTCGGCTTATTCGAGAGCAACGCCATCTCGGTCTGAGAGTCATTATTTCTACTCAAGGTAGGAAGCTGCACTCCTCTTTTATATGTTGCGCTTATCTTCCTTTCTTTCTCTCTTTACCAAGAACCCACCATTGTTCCTCCAGTCTTGATAGACCTATGCTCGATTGCTATTCTCCACCGCTTCAGTGCATTGAGCTGGTGGACTCATATTGCTGCTCATCTTTCTGCCGACTTTTCCGACAGCGACGCTTTTGATAAGATCGTCAAGTTGAAGGTTAGTCATGAATCTCTATTATATTGACAGTCCTCACAATGCTCATTAGAATGGCGAATCTATCTTGCTTGCACCCACAGGTGTTGGCTTTTATCCTCACGAGGAACAATGGACTCAAGAGGTAGCACAGTTTGGGCGTCGGTACCTCCTAGTGAAAACCAGGCAGAGGATAACAGAGGATGGAGGTACTTCACTTCTGGTGCTAAACGACTAGTCTGGATGAATTTGTTTTGTGCTTTTTGTGTACAACTTGAATCAATGTATTTGTAAATCACGGAAAATGAAGATGAAACGGGGCAGCACCAGATGGCGCTTAATCCTCGAACTTGCCGCAACCTGTCATGCGTTCTCACGAGTATCTTCCACTGGACGTGTATTCCCAAATTTTCGCCTTTCTTCCTCGATTGGAACTCCAGAAATTTCAGTTCATGAATAGTGCTTTCCATCAACTCGTAGCAGAATTCCTCTCCAAACACGTTGTTCTTGGTTCGAAGACTTGGCTCAAATTTTGCACCTTCCTAGTTGAAGGGAAAGGTGCCCGTTTGTTAAAACGTGTCAAAAAGCTTACTGTCCTCTTGGAGGACATGCCTATTGTTTCGCCCCAACCAGAGGACGCGCCTGATGTTCATCGGCTCTTCGAATTCATCCAGCTGGTCGGTCCTCAGCTCATCTCTCTTACTCTCAACGGTCAACGCGAAAATAGTGATACTTCCCTGACTTGGGGTGGAATTCATGAGAAATTCCGTGAGAGCCTTATTCTCTATGCTCTACCATTCATAGGTTCCTTGGAATTTCCTGAGCTTACATCCCTGCCACTACCCCAAATTCTCAGTTATTGCCCCAATCTTCGCAATATTCACATGAGCGCAAATGACGACGTCATTGCTAGCAATGTGGTAGAGGAAAGTGGAGCTTTTGTCAATATTCCAGCAGTGAAGTCAATGTCGTTTGGAGTATTTGCGGACCTCGACTTTGATTATTCCATGACCCTATTCCAGTTCCTCCAGGATGCTAGTTCACCGCCGACCTCTCTCCACTTTGAAGCATATACTGGCGAGAGTGACTTTCCCCTTGAACTTTCATTCTTGGACCCTTTCGATCACCTTAAGAAGAATCTTCTTTCTTTATCGTTTGGTGCCCATTTATTTGATACCGCAAGTGTGTGCTCCTCTGCTAGCCTATTTCAAAATATTCTCACAACATTGAATTAGCATTACAATCCGACCGGAACACACACCTTCCTCTAGAAACCTTCCCCAGCCTTCGAACTATGGAGTTCTCCGTGTCAACCATAATACCATCGAAAGAATGGCTACCCTGGACGACTTGGCTGGCTGCCCACTTTGATACTATTCCCCCCTCGCTTGAAATTCTGCGTTTCACTGGTATACCTCTGACAGAGGACTTTATCGATCATCTTTCAGATTTCGACAATATTGCTACAGCTTCAAACATAAAAATCGAATTTGTCTTCGATGGCGATTCTTACCGCGCACATGAGATCTTCCAAGTAGCTGTCAGGTCTCTTCGTTTGGCTCTGCCATTGTGGAACTCTGTAGGCAGGCTAAGTTTTTGGCTTGGTTTTGAGTGTGAGTAGTGGAGAGTTGTTCATATCCACAATGTTGTTAACATCTGAGCCTGAATGAATGTCGAAAAGTTTTACCTACATATCTTGTTAACTTTAGAGCGATTACGAAGGGTTTTTCAGACATGACTTTGGGTTTTTATTGGATTGAATTGGGCCGAGTCATATATGTAAACTGATACATTACTAGAGGAGAGCTACTGAACGAAAGGCGAAGGGTGCACAGGACAGGGAAACAGTGAGGTTGACATGGGCATGGTCCGTTTCTGTCATAATAAAACCTGCGGAGTGTAACGGAAACGCCACTCCAAAAGATGACGACATTCAATAACCCATTTCCTCGTGTAGTACTGTCTGTCCTGATCACGAACATTGAACTTAAGGTTAGGAGGATTTTTCCTTCGGCCCATTTTTCGGGAAGGGAGCTTCTAGTAAGTTTTAGTGGGCTTGATCCTTGAGTTCGTGATGGACGGATGAACTTTGTCCGGAAGCAGTATTCGAGGTAGCCTTCCCGCCAATTCTCTTCAGTTTTCTTGTGCAGTTGGCATTGTTTATGGTATGAAAGGCATGTGAGGGGCGATCCTTGCGCGTTCTGCTGGAATCTGGCGAGCTTTGCTTGAGTAGATCGAGCGAAAGGGATCCTATTTTCGTCGTGTAGAATGGAGAAGCTCGTTAGCAAGGTCACGAGAGCGCGATGGAGACTGGATACCAACTGCTTCCGGAGGGCATTCATCTGACCATCACAGGCGTCTGCTGGATTGCGAACTCCATATCGTTTTGAAAGTAGGTGAAATACATCGTAGTTTACTTAGTTTTCAATCTATGAATGGACGGATAAGTTTACGTTGGATCAGATTTAGGAGCAAAAGAGCATGAAGCTCTATTCGAATACGTCTGCACTACGGTACAACGATTGTACTCTACGTATCTATTGGGGACTACTCGGTGAGAGCTACCCCGGAACACTACGAATTCACCCATTATCCCGCAGTTCACGGTTCGACGATACGCTCCTAGAGAGCAAATTCCCCTTCGTTTGAGCCTCCAACCGCGGGACGACAAATCAACCAAGTCGACAGAATGGGATCCTAGTGTGCAATTACGACCAATGCATTGTGAATCGATGAAGAATAAGGAGAAGTTGAGGGGAAAAAAAATATACCATCGCGATATTACTCCTATACAGGGAATCGAACCCTGGGCTACCGCGTGAAAGGCGGTAATGTTAGCCACTACACCATATAGGATTATAATTCCGATTACTTTTATAGGTCACAAGCCGTCAAAGAGCAAAGAGGCAACAAAAAGTAGGAAAAGTTCACCGTTGTCAAATTCGTCCTCGAATCGAACGAGCGCTGAGATCATGTCTGTGCATGAAGAAACATTTCTGACTTGCTGAAAAGTCAAATGGCATTACAAGCTGATTGGCTCTATAAAATGGATGTTTACAAGGGTCCAAAAAAAAGTTCAGAAGTAATAGGAAAGGGAGTCCATCAACAAAAGACAGAAGGAGGCAGGGGTATAAGAGAAAGCGCAAGTCCAATTGATATAAAATAGGTAAGGTAGAAAATTATGCTTGGTCTGCCAGGTCAATACAAAGTCCACAACCAATACATTCGAGGCATGCTATAAAGAAGAGAGTCGATTAGCGAGGAGAAAAACGAGAAGTGGAGCGAAGAACGTACCAAGACCACCACAGCAAGCACATAAATAGCAAGGGCAACAAAGTGGGTTCTGGAATGCACCCTTGCAGCACCAGGCAGACAGACATATTCCGAGAAGAATGACTAGAACGATGCCCACAACTAGGACAATGATATAGTCTGGATGGCTATTTAGCAGAATGAAAACCTATTTTAAGGGTGGAACGTACACTTCTTGTCAATGAAAACATTGCCATTGTTATCATCCTCTGCGTGCGATGCCCGCTTCGTCAGCATCGAAGTGACTCCGTCAAATCCCATGGCCTCTGCGAGAACAGAGGACAGAAGCAGGACGACGATGAGAGAAATAGTCGAGAGCACCAATGGCAGAACAAAATGGCGCCAGTTGGGTACATGAGAGGAGTGATGCTGGTGCATACATTCTTGCGGATGTTCTTGTTGTAGAGTTGAATGCAAATGCAGAGAAGCCTTCTCCGAGTCCATAGAAGGGTGTGTTACTGGCTGTTGAACTTGAATCGTGGCGGGCATGATGTTCGTCGTTGGTCGTAAAAATGGGAGTATGGAAAGAACCAAATCCGTCTTCTCGCGATGTCTTTTTATATGAAGCGAAATAAAAACCCGATGACGTCGAGACAATGGTTACTTGCTGCGCGGAACCAAACTGGGATGTCTTGCTCTTGCATAGCGGCGGGTAAACGTTGAGGAGGACATTCATGGCACTGCCTTGTTCGATGTCTCGCGCCCGTTGATTCGCAGGGCTAGAAGCATGAAGGAACTGTCTGTTGAATCCATGAATGCCCAGAAGCGTGTGGCCAAAGGAGTCTGGATGTCGATGACGACAGTCCAGAACGAGGAGCAACTGCACCCGGGAATGCTTCTTCCTTGACCTGATGCACCCACTTCCTCATGTACCTTCATTCTTTCAATCGACACTGTGGGCTGCCGATTGTTCCTTTTCCTCCTAGATTCACTCTCTTTTCGAATTCTATCTTGATTTGTTTCTCCAAACTTGCCGAATTTGTAGCCCTGAGCAATAGAAGGCAGTGCTCGCATCTTTTGGAGCCCATGCTGGACCTACCAAAGACTTGGGAGGAGCTGTAAAACGGTATCAAATACAGCTTAAATCCTTACCACCATGTTCTCTCGAGTCAAAGCCAACATAAAGTCTACCATTGGTTCTCGTTCTTCCAACAAAGTCAACTTCTTCAATAAATTGTATGCATCCTGCATTCCTTAACCCCGTTGGTCTTTACTAAACACCTTTCCAAGACCTGGAAAAGTGATCTCCAAGATACTTGCTCTACTATCTCCACATTCTCTTGTTCTCCTCCTTCGTGTATCTCACAAAGCAAACTCAGTTGTCTCTGCTTACCTTGGAGAAACCTATACTCTACCCCGCGTTCTTCTTCCATTCTTCCATTCGCCCGAAGCGGTTAACGAATTCCAAGCCATCCAGTTTGACACAAATTGTGTCATTACCGGTTCTGTTGCTCTGCAATTCTTTGAAGGAGCTACCTCAACAGCTGAACCATTGCATATTGTGGTTCAAAGGACGCCTGCGCCTGGTGGCGGCGTACCAATTGCAGAGTTCTTATTGAATAGATGTGGGTATGCTTACCAGGGGAGCAGCGGAAACTTTGGAGAAGACTACGAATACTCGGAGTCAGAGGATCGCGACTTCGTTTTCACCACGTCAGCGGAGACGAGTAAACGAAAGGTGATTATGACTGTCACAAACGGTCCAGTTATGTCTGTTGTCCTCCACCAACACTCTAGTAAGCTGGCATTGTGTAACTCTTATTCCTACCAAGTAATACTTTTTCACAGCATATTTGATGAACATCATCACCCGATTCACGGCGGTTTCACTATTCCCTTACGAAACACTCGAGCTCAAGGAAACAATAGCAACTGCTACTTCGACCGTAGCGCTTCGATCCCTCGATAAGACGCGAGGGTACAAAACCCTCGCTAGCATCCGCGACTCACGTCTCTCCGCCTCAACGTCCAAAACCACACGTTCAGACCTTCTCCCTCGAGCCCGAAGACCAGGGGACGAACGTTCGTTCACCATCTCTCTCCTCCCCGCCTCTCAGCGGAAAGGCAAAAGAGAACTGTACAACTGCAACTCCTTCCAAACAGAACCTTTCCACCCCACAAAAGGACTGTTGCAGTGGAAAGAAGTTGATGAAGAGAGGTTTCGGTTCAAGTATGCTGGGGATCCAGGGAATAAATTTGGGCTTCAGACTACTATATTTAAAGTACAGAAGCAATTTGATGACAGAGATGTTGGGAGGGAGCATTTGTAAGTTCTGACTTCTCTTTTTCTCTTCCAGTCAACTTAATTTTCAATTAAGGGAACTTGACGAGGTGTTAGCTGCGAAAATGAGCGAAGGGAGACGTGAACCTAGATTCTGGGAGAGTGAGGATTTTCACTTTTTTTCACTACTACCTTTCTTTTGGTGACTTATTATATCTTGCATTATAGACCCTCGAACAATGAGTGTTTTGGCACCCTCAAGTACAACTATTGGAATATTATCAAGTTTTTCCTAGGTTATCGGGACATTGGCCTTCATCACCTGGAACCAGACCATGTATTTAACTTATTGGGCTCCCTCCTGGGGTTCTTATTTATTTGGTCCAATGTATTTGTCTCTTCAAATTTACGGAGATCCACAGTCTGTGAAACTGAAGAATTGAAACCAAGTCTCTAAAATAATGGGGGGGCGCTGATAAAGGTGATAGAAATCAAGAGGCATGCATTTGACAGCAAGCACGCTTTGTTTTTCACCCACTGCTCTCCGCCCAGATAATGTGGAACCGTGCGGCTACTGCGAATGGAGATGCTACCACGAGCCTGCCAGTAGCGACAGCGCTCGTGGAGGTGGTTTGTGGGGCCGCGCAGTCTGCAACCACAACTTGTCTCTCCCTCCCACGATCTTTTTCCCTCTACCTCCACCTTGCAATGTCCTACAATTTCACTGTTTGTTGCATACTCTGTTTTTTCTCGCCTATATATGCCGAAATCTTTTAGAATGCTGTCAACCTTGCTGAAAAAGCAGTTTATGAGGACTCAAATAGTAACCATGAGGAGGCTTTAAGCCTTTACATTCAATCTTTGGAGCTCTTGTTCTCAGAACTTCAATGTAAGAAGCCCTCCGAATGCCAAATAAGCACACCTTCATTGAGTACCTGTAGCACATAACCTGAGCGATGAGTCAAAGTGTCTCATAAGCAACAAGCTGGACCACTTTTTGACTAGAGCTGAAACTCTCAAGGCGCAATTGGCAGGTTCTAGGTCGCAGGAATCTCATCCTGAGATAATATATAATCGAGATACCAGGTAGACTATCGTCAATTACGCACTCTTGATCAACGTACTGAGCTTTGGTCAATAGATTACAAGGCGGGCGGAAGGTATCCCCTCCAGGTAGTGAAATACCCCAGATCATAACCGAGGTACCACTTCTGCGATTGGATCATATTGTCGGTCAAGAGGCAGCCAAGGAGAGCCTCAAAGAACTTGTAGTTTTACCTCTCAAATTTCCCCACCTTTTCATTGGCCATCGCAGACGCAACACGCATATTCTCCTCTTCGGTCCTCCAGGTTCTGGAAAGAAATCCCTGGCTAGGGCACTGGCAACAGAAACTCAGAGTACTTTACTCACATTGTCTATGAGCAACCTGAATAGTCCGTGGCGAGCCGACGGTGAGCGGTGTGTACAATTATGGCCTGAGAAAGGACTTCTTTGATAATCCTATAGATTGGTGAAAGACTTGTTTACTCGGGCACGTAATAACCTACCCTCAATTATTTTACTCGAGAATATTGACGGTCTTTGCACCGACGAAGGAGAATCTGAAGCCCCTCGACGTATCAAAACTGAACTTCTCGTTCAAATCGGCTCATTATATCAGGATGAGAAGGGTAGAGCGATTACCGTGGTGGCGTTGACGACAGCTCCATGGAACTTGAAGAATACCGTGACGAAACGATTTGCAAAACGCATTTATATTCCAGGGTCAATACCAAGCGGTGATGACGCAAAGTATGAGGAATGGAAGAGCCAATATATTGATTGGTAAAATGTATTCATTAACATACGGATAGAAAGACAACTTAGTGCGACTATATAACGGGTAGAAAATGGATTCATTTCAGCTGCTAACCACTTTACTGCCACATCCCACCTTCACCTTCGGGATCGGCACCTAGCGTGGGCCACATGATGGCAGCATTCAAATCCTCAACACCGTCATTCTTCGTCCCTACAACGCCTTCAGACTGATAAACGGCTTTCTTGATTCCGAGGGTGACCTTGATGGATGGAAGACCCGGTTTATAATGTGTCAAAGGCTCAGCTTTTCTTTCACTTGTAGAGGAAGAAGTCTCTGAACGTTCAATAAGTTTAAGAATGTTTTCAGCCGCGACGATCGTCTGAGAGATATCAGTTGGTCAAATGCCCTGAAACGAAAACTAGAAAGGTGTCATTTGCCTGGTAATGAGCAGTGTGGCCAGCTTGAATAGCACAAAATGCGTCTGCTGCATCCCCTACCACAAACATGTGGTCGTACACTCC